CTCAACGCAAGACCATCCCCAGAGATCTTTATTGCCGCTGTTGTTGCGGGTGAACTGAAGGATACCGGCAGCGGCGGCCCACAGTATTGAAGAGGCAATGAACCAGCCAACTGCAAATAGCGTGTAGTAAACACCGACTTTCTCGGCTCTGCGATGGCCGCCTCTCAGATAGCCGAAGAAGATGAGAATGCAAAGAAGAAGATTGACGCCAGAGACCGCAAGCACGACGATCTGGGGCCACAGTTGTGTGCCTTGTGCCCACGGCGGAAGACCGCTTTGCGGCGCAAGGTGGTTCGTTGCAGAGAAGACGTGGAAAGAAGCCGCAACCAGGGAAATAATGATCAAGCTGCAGCTAAAACTGATACCACGGAGGGCGAATTTAGCCAATCTGACTCGATACTTGAGGCCCTATGGGATATTTAGTAAGACGACGCAGCTCTCAATTGCTCATTGAACTTACGACATCCCTCTTTTGCGCCGCTTCGGTGTCTTTTTCTCTAGCTTCAAGAATATCCTCTTCCCTGAAGGTTGGGCTCAGAGGGTTCTCAAATCTCCTTGCCGGCGTGCCAGGCACTTTCATGGCGCTCTTTAAGGGCGTTTTTGGTGTCATAGGCACATTGACTGTTTGTGTTCGTGTATCATCGTTGATATATCCGAAGCCTACATCGGCCGGTTGAGCTTGGGCAGCGTCTTGACTCTCATCCCGGCCGGTAAACGGATTGCTTGTCTGCGGCTCAATGGGGGAATACACAGTGGTAGCCTCTGCGAACCTGGGGGTCCTTGGCGGCTTCAGTGAGGATGTGCTAGTATATGATCCATCTGTTGAGGATGACCGTGACGGTGTCAATTTGAGGGCGGCAGGTCGCCTCTTCTCATCTTGGGATGCCATTGTGATTTTGTGTGTAAAAGACTAAACAAAAAGAACAATCGCTCGTCCCTGCGAGTCAGTTGCCCGAACAGTAAGAAGTGCTTCACGAACTGGGCCTATGAGTTTGTAGTTCGGGATAGGGATGAAGCAATCTTGAGAAGAAGAAGGGAAGAATATGGAGACCAGCTATCGAAGAAAAGGAATCCTCGAGGTCGGAGACGGGAGGAAGGTCTAGGTTTTGAATAAGCGCCCTCGGGTGTGCTACGAACTCATTCGACCTTCTCTAAGGCTTCTGCATAGACGGGTAGTGGGGATAGCACAACGCTCAACATGCAATGGGATCGGTCACGGTGGGCTGGGGTCCTCGTGGCCTATCCGATGGAATGCCCCTGATAGGGTGGCTAGAAAGAACACCAATCTCGGGTGGGCGAGTCTAGTGTGGATAGACGCCGTACGTAACGGGATGGTACTGCACAACGGGCTGATTGTATCGGAACTCCCAGATCGGCAATCAATTCGAGTTTCACGGGCTGCTGGAACAAGTTGCAGACATCCAAGACGCAGGACAGCTAAGACAAGCACGACATATACCTCATCAGAAGCAGGAGATGGGGGGAGGAAAGTCGGCAGCGCAGTGTGTAGGTATTTCGTGAGCATGAGGGGGGACGGCACCAGGTAGGCATCGGACGAGGAGGGAAGAAACCAAAAACGACAAGACGGGTCCTCTTGTCCAGTCAAGAAGGTCTACTATACCCAGCCATGGTTACCCGACAGGACAAATTAAGGTGGTATAGGCCAAACAGCCACTATCATCCGGAAGTACACATGTACTTTGGTGGAGGACATATTGAATGGGCGTTACCGCCGCCCTCCAATCATCGCAAGCAACAAGCCCAGCGCGTTGGGATGGATGGCGACTACGGTAATTCGATGAAGTTGCGGACAACGGCTGACAATGGGGGTGAGTCGCTCAAAGAGCAGAGAGGACCGGGTACTGACCGGGGATGTTGGCAGGGGTCGCTCTCGGCGTCGAGCGGAGACTTGGAGAAGCGGCTCTGGTTGGACAAGTGGTTGCTCAAGAGAGGAGCCGGCGCCAGAGGACAGCGCTTCGCAGGCACGCTAAGGGACCCTGGTCGGCGATCTTCCCATCTCATAGGCAGAGACCATCCGTGTGCTGCATGCAAGAGCTCGAGCATCGGCCAATCACAATGCCCCAAGACGTGATGTCACCAACCACTTGCATCCATCAGGCGGTAAAGTAGGGACCTACTGCAGAGTACGGTGTAGTAGAGGCAGCGTAGTATCTGAATGGATGGCAAGTTCCAGCCTCTCTTTCTCTCTCGTCGCTTTTGCTTCCGTCCTTGCATCCAAAATCCCGCAAAAATGCCCAATTCGAGTTGTTCGTAGAAAAGATGGCAACAATTTGAAGTTTTCGTCTAGGTATATAGCACCTCAATATAATGAGTCTAGAAGAAACTCCCGACAAGATTTAAAGTTTACGCTAGGACAGGCTCGATGCGGCCATCGTTCTCGCGGCCATTATTCATCGTCGTCGGCCGCATGTATAATTATTGCTTGACCAGCATTTCAGCAAATCCCACCCACCGTACCTAGTATAACAACTCTACCAGCTTATCGTTCCGGCCCCCACGGCCACCATTCCCATTGTGCCATCTTGGCGAGTAGTATAGGTACTGCTGTAGGGGGCACGTTGCCTTGGGGTCCGAGAATCTGTGTACGCCGAACCCAAGTCTTCAGAGGCACACATATCTACACTCCAGCTACGGCATACACACCATGAGGATATTTTTAGATTATATTAAGCGTAGAAATCACTAGGGTGGTGCCACTAGCGATTGTTTGGGCTGTAATCAATGACACTACCAGTTTTCTAGACGGTAGTTCCCGTAGTTGTGCACCACTCAGAGAGACCTCGTTGGGCCAATGGGGTCGAGTCACACGAGGCTGAGGATATATTTAACATCGCCCGAGCTCATTTCTGGGTAATCAGCCCCGAATACTGCCACCCAAGTCTCGCTGATCTCACAATGTTGATGGTGGAGGGTATAGAGAATTACTTACTACCCTCTGGGTTTGTGCTGACGGCATCAAGTAGACAGACGACCTCTTTCATTCAACCAAAACGTGTTGGAAGTTCTACTAAGCCTTTCGCGCGGGGCGATTGACGATTAGGGTAGACCCCTGGATATTTGGCTGCTTCTTTTCCATCTTTGATATTTTCAATCATCAAGTGCTCAACTAGGGTGACAATGGTAAGCTGTGCATCAGTCACACAAGGTATAATTACCAAGCAATGGATGACACCAATCATCGGTGCCAGAATCTCATTGCATTGAATTGGATTGAATGCAGACTAATTTCAAGCCCATGATTTCGTAGCGTGTGTTGCAACAGTCCCCAGAGTTCTATTTGCCGTATATGCCCCGATACGCCACTTACAAGACAGTCGGGCTCCATGGATACCACACTTGTGAGGTCATACTCCATGATTAACTTATACAAGCCTCCGATCCCAATTTATGCGTGGCATCTCTTTGTTTTGTTTCTATTGGTGCCTCAATGTCACTCGCCCAAGGCACAAGGAGCAGGCTAGCATGAATGTGATTACTAACAGGAACATACGGCATGATATCTTGCACTCAATGTTACTTAGTACACGTGTATAGTGAGTAATCCGTTTGATACTGTGGTTTCTATACTGGATTCTGCGCTGATGGAACCACATTTACCTGGAAACTAATGTTCACCGTGACACCTATCCATTTTATGAAACAAGATGAAGTGGGAAGAGAGAAATGTTAATCCTATTCTGAATGTGCACTCTCGTAGCTGTCAGTCACAGATAAAATATTCCTTCCTTTGAGTACGGATGTATTGTGGGTTTGTATTTTATTGTCTATGCTTGCACAACAGGCGAACCAAGACAAACAGTTTAAAGAACATGATGATATGGTTGACAACTGTTTCACACATCAAGCGAGATGGCGATTCATTTAATGAATCAATAGATAGTCCCGTGGACCTCAGACTTAGCCAGCGTATCAGCCAGTTGAACAACAACCATTAGGGAAGCCAAGGCGGACACCTCAAACCTCCTACTATCACGATGATTGAAGCTCGTTGATTTATATTGAAGTGTACTAGTAAGTTGGCCACTTAAAGCCCTTATCCATATGATACGGCCTAGCAGCGACCTATTGCCTATGATCATGCGTGCGCTGGATAGGTTAGATGGCATTGTCAAATCACTCCACGTTCATAAGCAGGATACGAACTACCTACGTCATATTTATAACAGCGCGATTGTCAACCACAAAAACAGTTGCGATCGGATAGGATATACGCATTCTCCAATCGGCACCACGTGCTTTAACAGGTAAGTGAATACCTGGGTAGCTGCTCTTCTGAGCTTGATATGGCGGATAAGTGAACATTAACTAGCTGGAGATATAAGTAGCCCGAATTTGTGCAGGCTGATGCGACCGAAAAATAATCAACGATACATGGGGCTCGGATATTGTGCATGATTTCCATATCGCTGGTTCCCTACATAGCAGTCACGGGGAGTCTGCATGGTAGGTCTGTAGAGTCACCTTGGTCACAAGCATACCCATCAATGGTATTGTCGGAGTCCCGAGACAACCAAGGCCCCCACTAGAGGAAGAGAAACCGAGAACTAAAGACTGCGATGATCCTTGGAGAACAGCCACTCGGATCGAATTGCCATCTAGAGGCAACAAATAGTGCCACTGAAGTAAAGCCCGAACATTCTCGACTTTATGCCTGGACACCGCCACTCTGTCTGAGCTATATAATATTAACACCAAGGCGTTAATATTCCATCGGAGAAAGTGTCCACCATAACCACCTCGAACACAGGCGTTAAAAAACGGACCGATAATCATCGAATGGCTCCGTGTTCCGGTTCGGTCGACTGTACGTCTCGCCGGTCCTGCTTCCGGAAAGCCCAGAAACCGGAGGATCTACCTAGTCTGTTCTGGGGTGGAGCGAAAAGAGGGTCAATCAACTACCTAAGGTACCTAGCTAACAGGCTGCCCCCTCTTTTAAAAAACCTTAGAGCAATGATACCACACGAACAAGTACAACGATCGGCCTCGTGGCCCAATGGCAAGGCGTCTGACTACGATAGGACTCCGACAAGGATGGAAATCTCCGCCGACTCGGTGACAATGCGATAATCAGGAGATTCTGGGTTCGACCCCCAGCGAGGTCAAATTTTTAGTCTATTTGGACTAGATATTCATGTAAGTTATATGAACTTAAAATTTTTTTTCCCTGCTTTGGAAAATATTTACTGTTCTATCACGTGACAGATTTCGTGAGAATAGATGAGGGTTCCCCACTATATTTATTACTCCCCAAGAAAGTAGTAATGTTGTTGTTGTTGTTGCCTCTCAACGTACCTGTCACCTCACTACAGATATGGTCTCAGCCGATGGGTTGGTGATGTTACCCATACCCAGGGGCCTGCAGCCCAAGGTCCGCACGACTTTAGAAAATGAAGATAGACACGAGCATTCTAAATGATGTCCAAATATCAAGAACGCGACATGAGTGCATGGGATTGTGTGTGGGCCAGGTCCATTATATTAAATCATTTTAGGGTAGTTATCCCTCATTATTTTCTTGTCTTCCGTGCGTGCTTCACAAGGTTTTCTATGACCCCCTCGAATGCTTCCCTATCGCCAATTCTCTCGTCTGTGCGCTTCTTCCAAAATTCGTGCACTTCGTTTGCCAAGACCTCCATTTCCTTTAGCTTCCTGACGTGCTGTTGAAGTTCGATGTCGGTCATCCCTCTCAGGGCCTCTTCTGTCGTGGCGCATAACTGTTTCGCCGCAACCAAATCAAATTCCGGGATTTGGTGAGAAACCTTTCGCTTTTTCGAGTCAGATCTGGGTTTCTCTTTACCTTGTGAATCAACCGAGATGGACGATCCGTTGGCGTCTGTTTTCCGTAGTCGAGACACGGAACGCGAGTCTGTAGAAGTTCGAAGTGAACCGTTTGACGTGATTCGATGGAGAGATGGGAGGACTAGTTTTTTCTGTTTGGATGCTGGTAGAATCTCGTCTAGGTCTACAGGTACTCCGAGTGATACTAAGAAAAGCCTCCTAATGCGGGATCGAATCCAATCAGGAGGTTGAAGAGGAGGCGGTGCAGCTAGCTGTGACCATAACGATGCACTCCTCGGGTTAAAAAAGATGGGGTTGTCATTTGGAGGTGAGGGTAAAGGAGGAATATCGAGTACGTCAGGTGGGTATAATGCATCCAAGTAAGGGTCAGAGGCAGTCAAGATATCTTCAGAGTCTAGCCCGTCAAGATCTAATATTGGCTTTGAGCACATAGAAGTCAGCATGATTGTGATAGGGCTATCTAAGGAGGGTACTAGACACACAAAGGAAGGTATAGAGACTTGTGGCTGGTTTACCAGCGACTGAGCTGTTGTAGGCTCATCGGCCTGCTGAAAGCCATCATCAAAATCGCCGAAATCCGCATCTTCGCCGCCTTCTTCGAATTCGTCAAAGTCGTCACCAAAATCGTCATCAGCATCATTTGTCTCCTCGCCGCGAAGACTGGTGATTGATCTGGCGGCTGAGGATTTTCTCCGTCCATGTGTGGACGGGTGCTTCAATACTTGATTCACAGCCGTGTCATCTGCCAAGGCACGGTCAATCGCAGTGTGGGTTTTAGGAGGACTTGGCTGCCGTACCGGTGTCTTGTGTGTTGGTGTCTAGCGATGCAGGAATAGGGTTGGCCTCACCAGTGCCATCGGGCTTCCGGATGATGTCTGGCGTGGCATCTGCTTGATGCAAGTGCTCATTATAGCTGTGAGTCGCAGAGCCAGGTACGTCGTCGGCCTCGTCGACCACCGTTTGGGGAATGGCAGCGCCTTTGGCTGCAACAGTGTGGCTGGATGATGTGGGCACAGACGGTTTGTCTTGAATAATGGCTATTTCATCTGGTGAGGCGTCCTCTGTTCTCTTGTCGTAGGCCTCAGTGCCGGGAACTTCCCCATAGGAGGGTTCATCATCTACTTTCTCAACTCGGGTTCTAGGTATGGGAGAAGCGGCCCGGGCATTATCCCGAGGGGACGACTGGGCATCGGAATAGTGCTCATCTGAATCAGAGGCTTCTGTGCCAGCACATGTTAGGCCATGAGGGGAGGTCTCGAACGAGGGAAATGTGCTTACCCAATTCGTGCGCACCAGGGTCCTCGGTTCCCGTCCTCTTGGGCGCTTCAAGACTGGAGGAAGATCTGCGCTCTCCGGGCATGTTGGGAGATGCAGCGGCCGGATGTCAAGCCCGGTGTTGCATACTCGTGATGAAGAAGCAATGGGTGCTCGGGATGTAGAATGGCGTTGGGTTCGAAGGCTCAAATGCTCAATGGTGGCACCATAATATGGTTGAGGGGTAGAGGTAGCGGCTCGGCTGGCAGCAGGGAGACAGATAATGCGGTGGTAGGCGTCGAGGTCACCAGAGTGATTCAGACGGAGACTTGGTGAAGAGATGGGATGCTTGTCCAGGGTTGAGGGTAACTGGCGCTGCTGGTTTATGGAGATAGCTAAATTAATACAACTTTTAATTCCTCTGCGCCCTCGAGACTAATAGGTGCTCGGGATCGGGCTTGTAGGTAGAGGATCGGCGACAGTCGACATTGAACCTGCTTGAAGGATGAAGCTGGAGCACTGCTGCGAGCAGCAGGTGGCGTATGGCCTACGGGTCTACTACGGGAGAGACATCCATGGTTAATGGATCGACTTTTACCAGCTACCCTCAGCCAAGTACACAGTCTAGACCACCCCAGGTCCGTTCGATGACCTATAACGGAAAGGTCTAAGCCGATCTCCGCTATCAGATACCACTGTAGTCTGTGCACGGACTGTCCAGTTTACATGGACCAAAACGCGTAGGTACCTCAAATATGCAGGTGTGGTCCAAGCTCCAAGCGCACTAGTTCAGTTGCCAGCCACCTGTTGCCGCTGACCCAGCTGCCTGCCCAAACTGTGACAGCCTGTAGCGCGCCTCGAAGCTACCTGGGTATTGACGAGCTTGTCGCGCAAAAAGTTGGCCGTGAATATATTACAGTAGACTACTTACCCAGGCAGATCATTGGTATTTTCCGGCTTGTCAAGGCGAGCGACGCTGGTGTTGGTCAAACAAAGTGACCTTTTTCTGTTTCGACCGACCCTGAAGCCGCACCATCCCTGCCTCCGTCCGCGAAGCCAGACATCTCATCACCGCCCCGATAACCCAAGCCAACTCTGCCGATTCGGTTCTCTCCTCCCTTCATCGCGGCCTGGGGATGAGTGCATTGGTACCTGTAACGGGCTGTTGATTGAACTGTCGCATTCCACCTCGACACACCCGACATCATCGCCGCCGCGCCCGAGCCCCTACAGCCCAGAATCACATAATGTCCTTCTCCTTCGGCGCCGCCAGCTCTTCGGAGCAACCCAACAACAATGCAACCACCTCGAGTGCGCCAAGCAGCGGTGGACTGTTTGGCTCGTCGACAACACCCACAACCTCGTCAGGTGGTCTTTTCGGCAGCCAATCGAAACCTGCTGCTGCTTTTTCCTTCGGAAACGCAGCGGGTGGAGGCAACAGCAGTACGCCCACTTCCTCGGGCACTTTAGGGGGTGGTTTGTTTGCATCCGCGGGTGCCAAGCCGGGCGAGCAGAAGTCACTCTTTGGAGCTGCGAGCAGCGCTACCCCTGGCTCATCGACGCCATCCTTGGGCGGAGGTGCTGGTAGTAGTCGTTTTGGAGGCTCGTCGCAGACACCCCCGAGCACGGGCCTGTTCGGAAGTACGCCAGCGGCAACATCGACGGGAACAGCCACCAGCCTGTTTGGTAACACGTCTTCAACCCCGAATGCCGCTGCCGCAAGCACGACACCGACCACGACAGCCCCTGCGGGCGGATTCTTCGGGCAGGCGAATACTGCAGCTAATCAAGGAACTTCTACCAACAAACCAGGTGGAATGTTCGGAGCAGGCAGCGCTGCTACCGGGAGCTCTCTTTTTGGTGGCACGAATTCTAACACTGCATCAGCTAATCAGGTAACACCGGCAAAGCCCATGTTCTCCCTTAATTCGACAACGCCGGCTGGCGCACCTCCGGCAAACACTTCTAAGCCGTCTGGCGGGGTAGGCCTTTTTGGTAACACTGCCGCTCAGAGTGGTTCATCCCTATCCCTGTTCCCATCTAACCAGCCGAGTGAAAAGAAGGAGACCAGTTTGTTTGCCAGTAACCCGGCGAGCTCGCAGCCAAAACCTCCCGTTTCGCCATTTCCCACTCCTAGCCAACCTCAGAAACCAGGTCCATCTCTCTTTCCCACCACAAAGCCTGTTGAACCTCCATCTACGTTGAGTACAAAACCAGCGGGCATAGAAAACACCGGTTCCATGGGTAGCACGGGCGGTCTTTCACTTTTTGGGTCGCAGGTGCCATCCAAGCCTGCTGAGATCGCCCCTTCAACTAAACCGGCTTCTTTGTTTGGAAATACCACCGCCTCAACAGCACCGGGAAGCTCCTCATTCCTCAATTCTACTAGCGCAGCTCCAACACCCAGTACTTCAGCGCCCGCCCCTTCAGCGACGCAAACTGGCTCACTTTTCGGAAATGTAAACAAGCCTATGACTGGCACAACTACCGAGCCTCCAAAGCCTCAGTTGTTTGGAAAGCCCGCTGGTAGTGCCACATCAGAAGCCCCGAAGCCCTCAAGTCTACTGGGCGCAAACCTGTTGTCCACTGCGGCTCCTTCTAATACTACAACAACGACGACTGCCCCCAGCACTACCACACCTACTTCTGGTGGTGCTTCTGCCCCTGGCGCTACTGCGTCGGCCACTGCTGCGAAGGCCTTGACGGGTTCGCTCTTTGGTAACGTAGCGAAGCCCCCACCGTCTGCAGAATCGGCCGCTCCGAAACCTGCGACGTCTCAGACCACTGGTTTGGGCGCGTCGACGAGTGGCCCAACTTCGTCCATGGCGCGCCTGAAGAATAGGACTATGGACGAGATCCTAAACCGCTGGGCCACGGATTTGTCCAAATACCAGAAAGAGTACAAGGAGCAAGCGTCTCAAGTAGCAGCTTGGGATCGTTTACTGGTTGAGAACGGCGATAAGATCCAGAAACTGTATCTCAATACATTCGAGGCAGAAAAGGCCAGTCGCGAAGTCGAGCGCCACCTCGTGACCGTGGAAAGCCAGCA